GGAGAGGCCCACGCAGGACCCGCCTCCGGTCGCAGCCTAGGCGCGGGGCCCGGAGAGGCCCCGCAGGGCCCGAGGGGCCCACGCAAGGCCCACCTCCGGTCGCAGCCTAGGTGCAGGGCCCAGAGAGGCCGCGCCGGTTGATGCTTTCTCACTCCCCTCTTTCTCTATCTCTCCCTGGTCAAATGAAACAACAGTAATAATAAAGTTAAATAAAACAATTCTAAAAAAAAAAAAACAAAAAAACTTGAAGGCTTTGCAGAGCCCCAGAATCAGGTAGGAACTGGAAGAGACTAAACCTTGTAGAGAACAGAACACCCTGTGTGAGACCTGGGTTTTCATGGCTGTTCCTCTGGGGACAGAGCCTCAGCTGTGGGACAAGCAGAAAATCTATCTTTGATCGAGGTGTCAGAGGCCATTGTTCTGGGCTGCTGGGACAGCTGGAATTAGAGCAGAGCAGCCCTGTGGTAGAGGGAGCCCCTGAGTACAGGCCCAAGTCTGCATAATGTTCATCTTGGAGCTTTGATGTGCAGGAGAACCCAGAGAGCCTGCCAGGTGCCATAGTGGTTAAGAACTGTGCATGTGGAACAGGACCCCACGTGGCCAACTGCAGTGTGAATCTTGGCCAGAGGATTGAAAAACAGACCTTATGCATGCTCTTGCATGCCCAAAATCCCAATTGGGAGGGGAAATGGTGAAGAAGGGATTACACTCTAGCATGCCACATTGAGGGGTGATCTCTCTCTTTCTCTCTCTCTCTGATGAGCACATGCACCCTCTGTCAGTTAAAAAAAAATAAAAAATAAGAAATTAGAATTCTGTCAATATGATGGTCTATGTGAGCTAAAACTCCCTTAGCAAACTGAAAACGAAATAAGATGGCTGCTCTTACAGCTGTCATTCAGCAAGAAGGACAAAGGAAAAGAGGAGGACGTTCCCATTTCCTTGAGAGGAACAACTCGTGACATGCTCAGATCGCTTGTGCTCACATGCATTAAGTGGACCTTGGTGACTTTAGGTTCAAGGAGCCTGGAAAATGAAGTCTTTAGTAGGGAGTCCTTGAATTCACTTATAAATCAGAAGTTCTGTAAAGGAGGAGAAGATGAGAACAGTTATAAGGAGAGCAAGCCAGAGTCAGCCCTTCCTGCCTTGTAAACAATCACATAATGGTGTGATGGCCGGAACAGTGACAACCATATAGTAGTCATGAGGAAGACAGTACAGTACATTGAGGGTGGAAGAGCAGCCGGGTGGAAGAGCAGCCTGTATCTAGTATGACAACGTATCCTTGAAATGAGCATTGTTCAATATAAATGCTATGGAGCCACATGCGTAAATGAAATCTTCTCATTGTCGCATTTAAATGATAAGGAAACGTATGGACCAGCAGTTGGTGTGGAGGCTGGAGTTACTGAATCGCACATGACTGACTGTGCAGTTCGAGTCCCAGATGTGGCAGCCTGAGGATCACGCTGGGAGTGTGTGTGTGCCTGCCTGGGATCATGAGAGGAGAATGGAAGGGAAGGTATTGTGATGTTGCCACATTCCTGGGGGGGGCGTGGCAG